CTCACATCCTCCCACACTCTCTCCACATTCCCCACCCTCTCTTCGCCAACCTCCTGAAGATTTCATCATGTTGTTTAATGATAGATGAGCTCCTGCTGATAGTGTACGCTCAGACTGCAAGAGTTTTCCTCTCTCMTTTTTCTCGATTTTAATATATTTTCTGCYTATGATTACAAAGTAGTGACTGGACGTGCAAGGTGCATATTAGGTTAGGCACGGAGATTTGCTCTCCATTGAAACTGTTTGTGCTGCTGAGCATATGAGATGTGACATCACGATAAATAATAGAGTTTATTGTGGCTGCATTAGAGATAGATACAGTAGAATACATAAAGAGGCCACCTGTCTGCAGGACTGTGAGCTGTATTAAGATAAACACCAAACTGTGCYGTGTCTGGAAACCTTCAGGCTCCATTTGCCTCTGAATAAAAGCATTGCATTTATCATTAAACAATCTAGAGCTGTGGAAAAAATTATGAATAATTTGAAATAGTTCGATTTAATCAGGTTTTTTTTTTCTGAGCAGAAAACAGGATCTCTGCAGGATGACAAAATCGTTATTGCTTTTTCAAGTATCATGCAAAAAATATGGACTTTAAAGAATTGTGCCAAGTGATATATTGCAAACTATGTGAGCCATTTGAAAATAAAAAGGTTACCTAGTTTTGTTTCTTTCAAAAGTGCTAAAAAGGGGAACTTTTGGTGACATCACTTTATCTGGTAGCATCTTTTTTTCTCAAGCTACTCAAAAAACTTTAAAATATTTATAAGTTAGCAAAAATCCTTCTTTATAATTGTCACAATTCAACCTTAAAACCAGAGGTTTTAGCTGTTTTATTATACTTATAAGGGTTTTGGATAAAATAATATACATAGTGAATTAGATTTTTGTTTTTAAACACAAAAATGATACTCAGGTTTGCTCTGAAGATTTCCCAACAGCTATGTTGGTGGTTTTGTGGTTAAAAACTGAAATATATTCTTCTTTTATAAAAAAAAAGACAAGAGGAAGAAGAAAACCTGGGACAGCTGCTCCTTCGAGACTCTATCCACTTTCATATATAATTCAATGCACACAATTCCATTCAGCTCTGCACATCCTGACGTCAGACTGACCTGGTTTTCAGACTCCTTGGCAGCACAAGGTTTTGCTGGTTAGCGCTGTCCTGAGTGTGAAGCCCACCCCTGCTCAGCTGGGACTTTTTAAAATGACATGTTTTCTGATGCTCTCCACAGTCTTCTAACACTACTAAATATGCAGCTAAGGTCAGCTGGAAAGCGAAATGCAGACAGGTGTGAATATGGAATAGTTACATTCTGTGACATGAGGCAGATCTGGAGGCAGCTGAAAAAAAAATTAAACATTAGAAATGTTATGTTTGCTATCTGCTATCGTACTGCTTCAAATAACCAAACTGTGACACTTCTGGGGCAACAAATTACTGTCATTTAATGTAATCACAATGTTGTCACAGTGACACCAACTTTGTTTAAATAGGGTTAAGTGATTTACCTGAAGGCTCAACACTTAAAAACCATGATTTATAATAATTGAAAATATGGTACATGACTGAGATGCTTTACAATTAACCACACAAAGTCAGATACATTGCTATTATCACAATAAACAAATAAATAAAGCAACTGATTGATTTTCTGCAGAACTAGTTTTATTTTACAGCAGTTTTGAGTGATTGTTGGTTGATGAATAAACGAGTTTCAACTCAGACTGGAGGCAGCCTGTTTCAGTAAACTTGACCCAAGGGCAGAACTGTGTCGCTGAATTTCAACATACAGACCAAGCATTAGAGCTAATATTTGTCAATTAATTAACCCGGGCAGGGCCTAGAGGAAGTTAGCCTTTCATTCTCCTACACAACATCTACGATGAGATAAAAACACTCATACTGTACACATCCTGATTACTAAATCAACCACATTCTCTAATACTTATAATAATACTTATAATTTATATAACTAATAATACTTATAATTAATATAATACTTATACCAGACAGCAAACATGAAAATAGAGACGATGTGAATTCAGGAACAAAAATATTGATTTAATTTCTCAATATTTTACCAGAAAAATAAAATCTCAACCTTGTCTTTTTTTTAAGAAATTTAGATCATCAAAAAATCTAATTATCAAAAGTTTATCAAAAACTGATCAAACTGGTTAAACAAACAAATATTTTATTAAAGATTAATGCTAAATGAAGTGAATAAACTACATTTGCAGTTTTAACCATTCTGAGCCAGCTGGCTCTGGAGGATGTTCGCATGAAATATTTCCCCTTTTGAAATGAGAACATGTTTTCTTTTCTAAAGCACTGAGTGGTAGATAATAGTGTGCTGCAGAATAATGGCAGTTTTCAACAAGAGGACCCGCTTTGAATAATATCAACCCATTATATCGCTGCTCTCAGTTGTTGTCAGTCAGATAATTATGGTCAAAATGGACAAATTGCTCCAGCCTTTATTAAACCACATGATATATATCATCACTCTGATCAATGATAAACAGAAAGTGACCCAAATTATCTGCCAAGTCTGGCGACCTTCATTGCTCAGTTGATCAAGTTTTCCGCATTTAAAGTCTCTGTTTTTGCCATTAGTTAAAACTATTACCATGATGTTACACTGTTTTAATAATGATGTCTTATAAAAACAGTAAATTAAAGACAAATATAAAAAGGATCATTCAGCAGGAGATGAATTAAAATGCATATAAATCTAATTTGCTAATAGTAAATTATGTTTAACATACATATCTGATTGCTGATTTAATCCTGAAGTTCTCTGTGTGATGATATTCTAGAAACATTTTTAAAATTCAAGAACAGAAAAAGAAAAATTTAAGCCATTAAGAATATCCCCTGTGGAGTTCAAAGGCTTTTGTTACTTCCAGCCTCTTCACCTCCAAATTAGAACTTCCTTATTATAATTTTGATYTTTTGTGAAAGTCTTAGTACACCCACAAAATGATTCACACAAAATCAAAAGTAAAYGGTTTGAGAGTGCAGGAAGGGAACTGCAATTTTACCTCCTTTATTGCAACAAAGAGCAAAGAGAGCTTTACTGGTTGGAACAAATGGAGTCATTTCCTCTAAATCAACAGGATTGTGGGTTTTATTTCTTAAAGGATTTACAAACATATCAAAAGTAAGTTTCAAKTGACTGAAAATAAAACCCTCAAGAGTTCAGTGAATATAAAGCTCAATAAAACCTGGAGGTCAATTGGTGTTAAATACTCTAAAAGCACATTCCTTTATGACGAACCATTAAAAGGACACTTTCTCCACCATTTGTAAGGGTTTATTCTTACACTTCTTATAACAAGGTTATAAGAGTAATTTAATTAGCAAGGATCTCTTTTATTT